CCAATTGATGATCCTAATATAATCATCAATCCATATTTATAAAATGTTAAATACTGTTTTAACGAGATATGTTATAATCATTTTTCATCATCCTATTATTTTTACTCATGTATGTTTATTAGGTATAATCCTGAAGGATTTGAAGAAAGAATTAATTTTTAATACTGTAACTTAGTTGGAGTAGATGAAATGACGATAAATTACATATTGTAAATTGATTATGGAATGGATTGCTAATTTTCACGTCAACTTATTTTAAGGAATGGATTAAAGTAAAAAATCTTTACTCTAAAAAAGGTTAATATGAATTTATTTTCTTTATATGATAATATATTAACTTCATAAGAGAAAATAATCATAACTAATTATGATTAAATAGAAATCAAAAACATTAAATTTACATTATTTAATGGATTTTATTTGAATAATAATAACAATTAAGTTGATATAGCATTTAAAAATTTGATATTAATTCAAAGCAACTTTTCAGATAAAATAATTCTTTCAACTTAAGTTTATGGAAATATTATTATTTAGGATGTTTAGATTTTAGATTCTATTTTTTAAAATTCAACTTTTTTTGAATTTTACAAGCAATAAAATTCATTAACATTAACTATTAAACAATTAACATTCAAAAACTGTATTTTAGATAATTCAACTTTATTCAAAATAGAATAAATAAAAGCACTCATAATTATTGAAAATATCCTTATTGAAAATTGCTCAATATTTAATTCTTCATTTTTCTCATTCTATACAGATTTGAACACAATAAATTCAATCAGATTATTTGATGTACAAATTAATTAATGTAATTTTACTCTTTCCTATTTTCTCAAGAGTAATATTAAATTTATTTTAATGGTAAGTGATCTCTTTATCCATAATAACTATCTATAAAATTCAGTATTAATCTCTTTTAATGATAATATTGAATTGATTAATGTAAAAACAAGCTAGAATACTCTTATAGCCTCTTCAATCATATCAACATTAATGATTATAAATTAATAAAGTGTTTTATTTAAGATTGAAGATTTTGAAGATAGTTCTAGTTCTTATTAAGAATCAAGTTTGATAATTGTTTATTCTAGTCTTCAAATCAATAATTTTATTGTTAATATTAAAAATGTTAAAATTTAAGAAAATAAATTATTTGATACACTAAATCTACAGAATTCACTATTTAAATTACATTGCAATTAATTCATAATCTAAAATGGAACATTTTTAAATCTTCAAAATATATCTGTGTTTTATCTTTTTGAAGTAAACTAGATCATTTTTGATTCTGTAATACTTGAGAATTATGAGTTATAACATAAAGTTCCTCTATCTTAATTTTGTACTGATCAAGTATAATTTAGGAATTAACTATTACAAATTATAGGTTTTTAATCAGTATCATTATCAAACATTAAAATTTTAAATCAATTTAGTATAAATTATTCATTTATGGATATAAGTTTTAGCACCTAATTCATTATTGAAAAATAAGGATAAGTAAAATTGATGAATATATAATGTAGAGGGAATATATTATTAAAGAATATATAAGCCATTTCCTTATCTTTAATTAATATATATTCTCAATATAATTTGAATATTAAACTTATTAATTTTTAGTTTACTGAAAACATAATAAATTAATAAATTGATGAACCACTTGATACTTAAACTAATTTATTACATGTGAGTTCATTAAACAGTTTTGTTGAAATTCATAATTTATATTTTAATCAAAATGCTTTAACTAATTCAACTAATCCATTTATCACTATTACTGCTAATGTGATAGAAATTTCTAATTTAATATTCATGAATTAAAATGTTTTATCATAAGCTTTATGGTAATAATTTTATGATTTTGAATTAGAGGATCAATATAATCAACAAGAAATTAACTCAATTATTTAATCGACATTTAAAATGTTAAATTAAGGGATTTTTATTGTAGCTTCCTCTTTTCGTTGTAGAGATAGTGTATTTAAAGAAATTATTGCTTCTTAGAGTTCTATTTTTTATATCAAAACTTAAGGATAAGGTATAATCAAAATGAATAATGTCTAAATTGATTCTGTTTATGCAAATCTAAAAGATAGTGGAAGTTCAGGTTGTATTAGTATAGACTCAACAAATAGTCTATTAAATTTTGAGCTTAAATAAATAAAATTTACAAAAATATTTAATAGAATGGCTGCATCATTATTTACTATTATTCCTTCAATAAAATCTAATATTATTCGTTTAAATAATATTGAAATAATAAATTGCCTTTCCTTAATGAATACAATTATGTTTGTTTAATTTTCAGCATAAGTCATGCAATAAAGTTTAGTTAGTTTTAAAAATGTATCAATTTATTCAAGTGAAGAATAGTGGATTTAATTATTTTCTTTGATAGGTCCAATTACGTAATCAGAATTAAATAACATATTAAGTGAACAAAATGCTATGTTGTCTTTTGAAAATTGTAAAATAGAAATAATTAATTTTTATGTTGAAGGCATCGCAATCTCTTCAATTTTTAAATCTTAGAATGCTTATAAATTAAAGTTATTAGATTGTTAACTAGTATCTATATAAAAATTATATTCTTTTGACCTTATACACATAACTTAAACTTTAATAACCGAATCAAGTATATCTGTTGAAAAACTAAAGATAAGATAGAGTAATACATACCAAAAAAAATTTGAAGAAATTCCTATTTTATCAGATTTAAATTATATAATTGGAGGATGCAATTTGTGGAAGAATACATCAATTATATAAAAAATCATTTTTACAGACATTATCAGCCAGATATAATCTTTTAATTAGAAATTGAATCAGATGATGTATGTGAAAAGTATTTCTGACTAAAATTATCTTACATTTTAAGGAATAGAGATGATTAATAATAATGGATCAGACTATACAAATGGAATAATCACTTTTGAAATGGAATAGTTTAAAATATTTAAAATCTTTAATATTATTTGCCATTAGAATAGTGTAAAATCAAATGGTTGCATTTATTTTTAGATCTAAAATTTTATTAATTAAACAATAATAATCAAAGATTCATATTTTGTTTAGAATAATGGAAGTTTAGGAGGCGCTGTATTTATTTAAAATGTTAGATTAAGGATGAAGAATTGTAAAATTATATCTAATTATGCAAGTAAATCAGGTGGAGGATTATTTTTATAACTAAAGGATTCTGATTTTTAAATAGAATCAACAATAATTACTAATAATTAGGCATTTGATGGAGGAGGCATATATTTCAACTAGGATGGATCTATACTACAATCTAATTTTATAAAATCCTTTTTATTATTTAATAAAGCCATATAATTTGGAGATAATCTTATTGAATCTCCCAATCATTTAACATTACTTATCAACAATATGGAAATGCACTCTAAAAAATTGAACATTAATCAAATATTTAATCATCATTTAGTGCTCAAACCCTATAAAATTATAGAATAAGGAATTCCTTTTCTTACATATTATTTTATGATCCCTAGTTAATAAGTTATTGATTAGTATTAAATATATTCACCATTCAAGATTCAATATTTTTCATATATAACAAATTTTGGTGTGATGTTGAAGAATAGTTTAAATGAATAACTTCCCAATATTCTTAATAC